TCAGTGGTTCAGATACCTGGCTGCACAGCCAGTGATTGTCAGGTCAATTGCTCATTGTGTCTCCTGTGAGTAGAGCCAGCCTGGGTGCCCTTGGGCAAGCTACACAGTTCCAGAGCTCCCCACACACACACCCAGAAACATGGGCAAGAGAGCAACAGACCAGGTATTTGGGGGGCGAGGAAAATGAACAGCAGTATGACCATCTATGGTTCAATTCATAGCTGGAGAAACAAACCATGTCTTGCCATAATATGCAAACGTGCCCACTGTTTCAAATGCAACTCTGTTTTTTAATTATAGGGAGCTGAGAGATAGAAGAAACAAGCAACAAAGCTCAAACTTGTATTTCCAAAAAAAAAAAAAAAGGAAGACAACAACCGATATGTTGTCTGAGAGGGAAAACACTCTCTCCTGGAATTCATAAATACAGTCTGCCCATTCTCAAGTTCTAATAAATGTTCTCAGGATAAGATTCCAAAGGTCAAACTTTCTCTGTACATTTCTGTTTACAGCATAAACCACCATGAAACAAGGTAGGATGGGAAGCGGCTACCCAATTTTAGCTGTCAAGCTGCATTTGAAACAATTAAAAGGCAGATTGTTTTCCCTGTGTGGCTGAGAGGGAATGAACTGTTGATATTCCATAAGCAGATGCATTAGACTTCTCTTTCAAGTTGTATTCTCTCTTTTCTTTTCAGTTCAGGCATGCAGAGATGCTGGAACCATATGGAGCGAAGACACAACAGAAGCTCCTTTCTACCGTAAACATATTGGACTTTCCTGATCTAATGCTATCACACAGCACAAAAAATATTTTAAAACTGTGTATACTAGTTAGATGATCATGACCACATCTTTGATCAAGCTGTTGAAGCCTGCTGGCTCCAATTTTTCCACTCCAAAGCATTCTAAAACCCAATCCATTTCGATCTCTTCTAAGACAGGAGGCATGCTGTCTACAGTTCAGCTTCATCTGGAAGGCTGTGCATTCCTTACCCTCAAATTTGTAATACCCCATCCTCTTAAGGAGACCCACATGCAGTGGGAGGTTTTGCACTCTGTACAGATCTCTCAAATGCTACTTGCTTAGATTAGTTCCAAAGGTATGTCTTTTCAGCCTGTGATGAATCTGCACACACAGGGAGCTGATGCACATAGTCGCACTCGTCTCAGAAACAAAACAATTTTGTTTACGCCATGAGCATCTATCTCCAGGATAACTACTGCTGTTAAAAAACTATCATGCTTTGTAAGGTAATATGATTTGCTGTGTGAGTAATAAAGTTGTTTTCAGCAGCTAAAGATTCTGAGTGAGGCAATCATGAGCCAGATCTGACTCAGCGCCAAACGAGTCATTCTTGTTAAATGCAGACATTTTTAACTCTTCCCTCCACGACTGATCTTGAAGAAAACATCTCCTCTGAAGGAGCACTGGAAGAAAATCCGCTCCCTCCCATGACAGTAAACCAAACACCAAATGCTTCCCCCACCAGAAAAAAAACAGCTTCAAAAAAGTGATTTTCCTCAAAGTCACAGAAGGGGAGGAAAGGATTAAATTCTCTATTCATTCCTTCTTCATCTTTAATCTCACTAATTATCACTGTATCTATCATTGTTGTTGTTTAGTCATTAAGTCCTGTCCGACTCTTTGTGACCCCATGGACCAGAGCATGCCAGGCCCTCCTGTCCTCCACTGCTTCCCGGAGTTGGGTCAAAGTCGTGTTGGTAGCTTTGATGAAACTGTCCAGCCATCTCGTCCTCTGTCATCCCCTTCTCCTCTTGCCTTCACACTTTCCCAACATCAGGGTCTTTTCCAGGGAGTCTTCTCATACAGTATATATATAAATACAGTGATAATTACAGAGGTGAAAATATAGTGAATATATATTTGCTGCTAAATTCCATTGTTTTTCATACTGCCATGTGGTGTGGCATATAGGACAGGATTCCTCACCTCAGTGACCTCTAGATGTTCTGGACTACAACGCTGGCTGGGTATTATGGGAGCTGTCATACTAGCTACTTTCATGTATCTGAAGGGCCATCGCACAGAAAATGGATCAAGCAAGTTTGCTGATGTTTTACAGTATATGACCAAGTTTAAGGATATTTTGAATACATATTAAAAGGAACCTCCCTACCTTATGGTAAAAGCAGCTAAACAGCAGCATGGACTACCTCAGAAGGGTAGGGGATTCTCTTTTACTGAAGGTTTCTAAACACAAGTTGGATGGCCATCTATAAAAGATGCTTTAGTAGAGCTGGACTACATGAGTCCTCCAACTTTACAACCTTAACCATTTTCTGATCCAAGAAATCTGGAGGGCACCTTGCTATAGAAGGAAAGGTACTTTTATTCTAGATGTACCTGCTCTAGCAATTTAACAAGCCCAGGCTCAAGAAAGTGCTTCCAGTACTGCACATTTCAGACTGTTCTGTTTCAGCTGGCTTTCTTGGATTCTGCTTCTAAAATATAACTTGGATGCTGCTGTGTTTTATTCTTTCAACATCATGATTTTACGAGCTTGTTCAGATTAATTTCAAAGGAGTATCTTTTCAAATTATTGTTTAGTGTGTCTATGTTATTGTTTGCTAACCACCTCTGATTGTTATATAAAGTACATTATTGTATAAAGGAGATAAACCCTAGAAACAAGATTGCTGCCCAAAGATGGCAAACATTTGCAATTTAAATCCATTAATTTGTCAGGCTGCCACATCCAAGCTCTTGTTTTAGCCCTGCACTCTCAGGTGCCATATGAGCACCCTTATCTACCTCTGCAGGGCTGTTGTAAGGAATGTGTGCAAGCACGTTGTGAGAATTTATCAGAGACATCCTGAACACCAATGACCACCAAATAAATGCTAAATGTTCTTATTACCATTCAGTAACAGCTGGAGGACAGTAAGGGAGAAAAACTCTTGAAAAATAACAGAATTACAAATGAACATGCAGCAAAGAAAAAGTTAATCTCTCCCTCTTCAATGGCAAACCACGCCAAAATTGCAGGCTGCAAGTAAAATGAGGGTGGGGACAAAGCCTCCCACTGCCTTCAACAGGGGGTCATATTTAAGTCAAGGTCAGTCATCAAGACCTTAAGGACCACATCTGGTCTATTTGCTCCCAATTTCCCCACTCCAGATCTTTTTAAAATCACTATCAAGATACCCATTTGGTAAGATTCCAGAGGCCAAGGGGGCATCTTAAGTTACAGGCACTTATCCATAATAAACAAACTCAAAAGTGATTCTAGGAATCAGACCCATGTTTCAGAAATATGAATCTTTGTGGTTCTTATTTCAAGAGGCTAAAAATCCTGATCCATTTAAAAATAATATGTACATTCAAGTTTTATAGTTACTGTCACCATTGGCCCCCAGGAACAAGAGAACATTGGCAGGGTGAGATTCCCGCAGGAGAGAAAGTTCTCAGCAAGGGCTGAGTTGGGCAGAAATATTAGAGGCAAAGCGCAAGGTCACTGCCGGGAAATGAGTGAGGAGGGTGTACTGGGCAGGCAAACAGGAAAGATGATCCAGGCTGAGAGTTAAAGAAAAGCCAAAGTCAAAAGTTTAATCCACTGGGAGACCGCAAGGCGAAGGTTTCGTTGGAGGAAAGGCACAACTGAACTGTGTGGAACAAGGGCGGAAAAAAACCCAAAAGAAGTAGCAAGATGAGGAAAACGCTGTATGTATAAGTCAAGTGTGCCAATAAGTTGACCCAGAAGTAAATCTGGCTAGTCTGTACCATGACAAGGAAATGCTAGACTTTAAAATAAGGCTTTATATCAGAAGGAACGGAGCTGTCATGTGAAGCCGTATGGCAAGAGCAGAGCAACATAAGCTGAAGCACCTCTGTAAGATAGCGTGAACCCCTCAGTTCATATACGTTCCTAATTCTGATTCACCACAATTGCTTCCCAGCTTCAACCATCAGGCATGGCCATAAAAGATCGTCATGGCTGTAGGTTTAATGTGTATAGTCACCAAGTCCACTTACCAGATGTCTCCCAGGAAGGCAAAGGACCAAGATACAGAGAAGTACAGAAACAGCTCTGTAGCTTTCTTTCCCTGCAGTTAAGCCTGGGAAAAGCCTCCCACTGGCTGCGGCTGAAGGATAAAACGCAACGTTCTAACACAATTGTTCCAGTACACCAACATTTGTGGCCTTCTATATGCTATTGGACTGTCACTCCTAGCTCATGCAGCTAATGCTAAGGAATATCTAGAAGGCCAGAGTTGGGTAGGAAGGGATCTGATGAAGTCTGGTTCCCACTACAAGCAACAGAGAGACAGCCAGGAAGGAAGCACAATGGAAATGAAATGAAAAGAGAACTTTTGAAGATCATCCTTCCTTTTGCAAACACAAGCGTTCCCGGTCTCTGAGGAATCAGATTACAGTATCATCACCAAGAAGGAAGCACAATGAAAATGAAATGAAAAGAGTACTGATATCCTAAGGATAGGCAGTTTTATTTCAGAGTGAACTTTTGAAGATCATCTTTCCTTTTGCAAACACAAGCGTTCCCAGTCTCTGAGGAATCAGATTACAGTATCATCCATGGAAGTGCACACTAAAATAAACAAACTTAGGTCTTTAAAGCAGCACAACTGTTTTGTTTGTATCACTGGCTGACGTGCTGTAAAACAGACAAACACAACTTACCTCTTTGAAAAAACGGCAACAACAACAAAGGGTGCACCCTTTTCAGCCAATTTGGAACAGAGGCCTTCATCCAGGAATATATGTAACATCATTTCAACAGAACCTCCACAAGAACTAAAACCTCAAATGTTACTTAAATTGAAATAATGTAGTCCACTTCTGGTCTCTATATTTTTTTAAAGCCACACCAATTTATACAAACGTCTGGTTATCTGAGTTCAAACTGTCTCGCACTTCAGGGCATGAGACCTTTTGCAGTTTCTAGCACTTTAAAGTTTAAAAAGCAAAGCGACTGCTCATTGTGTGGGAAAAGACATAAAATTAAGAGACTTCCTACCATGTTCCAAGAAGACATTGCAGGGGGCTCCCCCATGCCTCGAGGTTTCCTTCTTTCCTGCTCCTTTGATAAAGGGCAGGGCAGGCAGACTCGGTCTTCGTTGGTCTCCAAGCACTTTTCCAGGCTGCTGACCCATAAAGTATGGAAAGGCAGGCTTTTCCCACGTGAGAAAAGGCCGACCTTCCAGATTGGCACCGCGATCCACGAGAGGTGTACAGCCGAGTTCTGTGCTTCCAGATGCCAGCTCCCTTGAAGGCACACGGTTCAAATCCAGAGGCGCAGGGCTTTTTCCGCAAGAAAGTTCATTTGGCAGCAGACTTCGTTAGAAGTCCCCCTTAGCAGCTGCAGAGACCCCACCCCACCCCCCAAATATATATATTTTTAAGTTTAAAATGTTTTTGCCCCTGATCTTCCAAGGGCTGAACAAGGACCACTTTGCAAGAGGGAACTAGTTACACCTAGAAACCATTCACGTAAAAGTTACTAAGAGGCCATGACAGGCCGTCTCCTTCCTACAAACCAAGATCCAAACTCTTTCTGTTTTCTTTTGCATAGCATTCCCTGGTCACATGGCCAAAATGGCAAGCATTTGGCTTCAAGTATCATTCAAAGGTGAGTCAAAGGTGTACGACAGAGTCATTCTCTCCACTGAAAAAAAAACGAAAACAAAACTTGTCCGTGTAAGCAAAGGCCATAAACAGTTCAAGATTTCTGAGGCTTCCTACCAGGACTTGGTAGCTGTCAGTAAGGCTCCAGTGGAATTCACAATTTTCACCCAAACTCAGCCTGACTCATAGCCAAGTCTCCTCTCCCTGGGACCACTGCCACATCTCTGACCCACCAGAGAAAGCGAAATCAGGAGTCAACCTGGGAGTCATTTTGGAGGAGAAAGAAAAACATTCAGGGCCATCAACATTCAGGGTCTCAAAAGCCCAGCTCGTGGGCACTAGCAGGTGGATTCAAGGGACCCCTGACCTATTTATTTATCCCATGGAGACAGATATCACCTGACGCAGGATCCTCAAAACCTCTGGCCAGAAGGGGTTGTGTAGTCCAAATGCAATTTCCAGGAGGAAGATTTTCAGACAACAGCCAGAAGCAATCCAGGTGGGGCAACCAAGCTGGCCTCATCCCCGTTCAAGGGTAGCCAAATGGATTTTGAGGGGGGCAATTCCTGGAAGGCAGTGTTTTTTTGGGGGGGGGAGGAATTACTCCTGGCAAAACGGAGGAAGGGGGATCTCTAATGCTGGGACACTCAAGAGCACCAAAATTATCTTGTGAAGGGAAATGGCGTACCATCAACGGTGGTGGTGGGCAAAACCCCAACTGTCCTAGTCTCAGCCCTTTAAGAAAAAGGAGAACGACAGAAAAAGGGAGAAAGGGCTAAGTTACCTGACACAGTATTCAAGGATAAAGAAGAGAACGGTTAAGAAAAGAGGGGAGGAGGAAATAGCTGGGAAAAGAAAAATGCCTGGACTAGAGAATAAGACCTGTCCGCTGGTTGAACAGAGAAGATGCAAACAGGTAAATCCTTAAAGAGTATGAACACCTGCCCTATAGAAGAAGATGGGGTGGAGAGTTATGAAAACGTCTCTAGTTGGGCCTCTAAGCCCTAAAACTGGAAGGTAGAGGAGGGAGAAATGGGTCCCTCTGACCCCACAGTTTAAAAACCAAGCGTAAAAAAAGAGGAGTAAAGGGTAAGGAAAATTCAAGTCCTCTTGAGCAGGGAGGGGGTATTTAAAGGGCTTAATGGAAGTGAAGAACGAAGGAGATGAAAAAGGGATAAAGAAGGGGTGCAAACCATCCTTAATGAAGGGGGTGAGCCAGACAGAGGGGGGTCTCCCCCCAAAAAAAAAGAGCAAGTGTGAGGGGAAAAAAAGGGGGCCCACGTTGTGAAGGAGACAGAGGGGGGTGAGAACAGAGAAGATAAAGAAAAAGAGTGAAAAATCTCCTAAGATATGGGGAGAACAAGAGACACAGATGGGGGTCTTCTTCCCCCTAAAAAATAGCGAGGAAGAAAAAAGGGGGTCCCAGGTTAAAAGAGAGAAGGGGTCCCCCCTTTTTCCTGTCAGAGAAGATAAAGAAAAGAGATGCAAACTGTCCTAAAAAGGGGGGAAGAGGGAAAGGAACAGAGATGGGGGTCTTCCCCCTAAAAAAAAAGCAAGTGTGAGGGAAAAAGGGGGTCCCAGGTTAAGTGAAAGAGAGAAGGGGTCCCCCCCTTTTCCTGTCAGAGAAGATAAAGAAAATGGGTGCAAAATATCCTAAAAAGGGGGAAAGAGCAAGAGAAACAGATGGGGGGTTCTTCCCTCAGAAGAGCAAGTGTGAGGAAAGAAAAAAAGGGGATCCCAAGCGAAGGAAAAGGTCCCCTTTTTTCCTGTCAGAGAAGAAAAAGAAAAAGGGAGCAAACTATCCTTTAAAAGGAGGGGAAAGCGAGAGAAACAGATGAGGTTCTTCCCTCAGAAAAGCAGGTGTGAGGGAGAAAAAGGGGGTCCTGGGTTAAGTGAAAGAGAGAAGGGTCCCCCCTTTTTTCCTGTCAGAGAAGGGGTGCAAAATATCTTAAAAAGGGGGGAAGAGCAAGAGAAACAGAGATGAGGAGGTTCTTCCCTCAGAAAAGCAAGTGTGAGGGAGAAAAAAGGGGGGTCTGAAGCGAAGGAGAAGGAGGGTGTCCCCACTTTTTTTCCTGTCAGAGAAGATAAAGAAAAGGGGAGCAATCTATCCTAAAAAGGGGGGGAAGAGCGAGAGAAACAGATGGGGGGGTTTCTTCCCTCAGAAAAGCAAGTGTGAGGGAGAAAAAAGGGGGTCCCAGTTTAAGTGAAAGAGAGGAGGGTTCCCCCTTTTTTCCTGTCAGAGAAGATAAAGAAAAGGGGAGCAATCTATCCTTAAAAAGGGGGGCAGAGCGAGAGAAACAGATGGGGGCGTTCTTCCCCCTCAAAAAAAAAGCAAGTGTGAGGGAGAAAAAAATGGGGTCCCAAGCGAAGGAGAAGGTCCCCCCTTTTTTTCCTGTCAGGAAGTAAAGAACGGGGAGGACCAGGACCGAAGAGACGGACACCCACCCACCCCCTACCCACCCCGGCCGGCCGGCCGGCTTCTCCTCCTCCTCCTCGCCGGCTCGCCCTCTTTTTTTCCGGGCTGCTGCCTGAGCGCCTCAAATACGATATAATTCCACCCACCCCTTTTCTCTCTCTCTCTTTCTGGGCTGAAGCGGGGTTTGGGGTTTGGCGGGCTGTCACCCCCTCAGAGACACACAACGCGACCCCCTCAGAGCGGCAGCGGCGACACTGGCGAAAGCGGCCGCCGGGCGGCCATCTTGGGAAGGGAAAAGGCCTACTCCTGGTAGCAGCGGCGGCGGCGGGAGTTAGGAGTAGGAGTGGCGAAGGCCTCGCCTCCTTCCCCGGCCAGGGGCGGAGCACGCAGAAGGGGGGGGGGAATGGCGGAGAAGGGCGAGGCGGGAAAAACCGCTCGGGAGAGCTTCTCCTCAGAAAACGCGCCCTTTGCGGGGGGGTTCGGCCTACAACTCCCAGCATGCCGCTCGGGAGCTTCGCCTCAGAAGGCGCGTCCCTTTGGGGAGGGGCATTCTGGGAATTGTAGGCCAAAAGCAAAAAAAGGGCGAGCTCCGAAATCCTGGAGGGATTGAATTTGTGGGTTGAGGGTCGTTATTTTCTCCCTCAGCCCCTGATCCCTTTTCACACACACTCTTGTGAGGCTCCATAGTTCGTCAATTGGGACCATTCATGATGTCCCAATAGTTATAATGTTTTATTGACCAGCCAAAGAACATGATTTAAATTAGGAAACATAACATCAATCTAAAATTCATCATTATAATAATAAATGTCTTATTGACCAGCCAAAGAACATGATTTAAATTAGGAAACATAACATCAATCTAAAATTCATCTAAATATTCATACATCTTATTAGCCATCGCTCCATTGTGCCTTTTATTCTGGCATGCGAGAAGTCCTTGTTAACCCTTACAATAATTGCTTAATTAATGTGTGCTTAATTATCGCCATCATCCTTATCCTTGCCCCTTGTTGGCGATTCTGTCAGTACAGTAATCTATACATGCATATCCATACATACGTACCTACCTACCCATGTGTATGTATACACACATAAACACACATGTATGTATATTTACACAAACATATGTGTATATGTATACACACACATACCTATATATCGATATATCACTATAGATACACACAAAGATATGTATACACACATATGTACATGGGCACACACATTATTCTATTCTATTCTAATGAATAATCCCGATTCACAAACTCTGGTTAGGATTATTCTAATCCCAATTGACAAACTCTGGTTAGGGTTATTCTAATCCCAATTGACAAACTCTGGTTAGGGTTATTCTAATCCCAATGAAACTCCCATGGAAGCAACATGGAACAGGTGGCCTCAGACCTTATAAAGCCACCATCTTCTATCATCTCAGACCACGGGTCTATTTTCGATTAGCACAATATTATCCATGCTTGGCAATGCTTCCCAAATGTTCAAGTGGGCTCCTTACCTGGAGCTTCTGAGAATTGAACCCTGGATGCTCGGCATGCACAACCTGTTCTCAGCAAATCAGCTACGGCTCGGTGAGCGATGATGCCCTTTCTCAAATTTTATGAGGAGCTAGCCGCCCTGCTGCTATCGCTTCTCCTTCCAGGTAATGGCACCTTTAAATAAGTAATGTGGCTTAGAAACAGCTGCTCTGAAGCAAAGAACAGAAGGGGGAAAAGTGGAAGGAAGAGAAGCAGAAGGTGAGGTTTCTCGCTCCTCCCCAGTCTTTCTGCAAGGTCCAAGCAATTTGTGCAGTGTGGTGGGACTCATTCTGTGATTTGTCTCCACACAACACTCCCAGGAGATCTTAAGAAGCTCCATCAGACTTCATCCAGAGACCTGGGAACCCTAGCGACAGGAGGGTCTCCCATCAGATCGACAACAAGGATAATGATCATCTGGCTGCTGAGAAAACGAAAAGTAGCACATCAAGAATGCTCCCAAGCTCCAGGGAAAACAGCAGCACAAATAGCAGCTTCAGGAGATTCTCACATCTTGATAGCGTCCCCCCCTCCCCTCCAAATAATTATGCCACACAGGGAAGCACATATGTCTGGTTTATTTTTTTTTGTTTGCAGAGACTGGTTCTTCCAAAACCCAACCGGAACAAGACTTTTTTTTTTGCAACTATGGAAGAGATTCTGTCTTTATTAGCAGAGACAAGCAGCACACATAACCGGACACTAAAGCAGCCCCAGAGGCCTGATAAATGTGCCAATAAAAGGCACGCTTGCTGATTTACCGGACTTCTCACACGGCCACCACGGCTTCACACGGTCACCATGGCTTCGCTGGACAGATCCCCCGTAGCATCCTGCATAACCAAATGCTCTTTCGTGCTTCAACGGTGCAGTAAACAGAGCAGTAATCCCCTCTCTTTCCACACGGATGCTCCATAAATTTATTTTCCCTGACATCCATATGGCGTTGGGGACAATTCCTTTCATCAGTTCTTCCTCATTTTTAATGGCTAAACGAGGACACCGCGAGATATATGACTGCAAAAAGGCAGGAAAGGGGAGAGCCAGAACCCTTCAAAGGAGACCATTACTACCCATCTTACCAGCCATTTCATCCCTCTTCCAGAATCATGCCGTGCTGGGGTGACAACTCTTCCTTATTTAGGACTGTCATCACCGAGTTTGGTCACTGCGAGGTCCACACTTTGGAAAAACACACCATTTATCTTCCTGCATATGAACCGTCAAGATTGAGCATTTACCCGTGTCAGCAAGGCACCAAGAGGAAAAATAATGTCATCATTTAGAGACGGCAGAACACAAGATGCTGATGCTGAAAATCTACATGTTGAAGCTGCCTTTAAAAAAAAAAGAAATGGAGCATAAATTGCAGCTGGTCTGTAAATGGCACTATGTCGGTGCCCCGGCTTGTGGTCTGTTTCAGGGCCCCGTTTTGAAGAGGGGCTGCTTTTCACCACATGCTTGAGCAATTCAAGTGCTGGAATGGAATTTGGAAGATCAAACTAATCTACGGAGCCATGAAACCGGCAATGTGACCTTGAGCCAGCCAGCCAGCCAGCCATTAGCCTTTCCTACCTCACAGGGCTGTTGTGAAGTAAGTGAGAACGATGCGCTCGTTAGAGAAGAAGCAGGACACAAATGTGGAAAAACAAGAGGACCGCAACATCCATGAACGAAGGTTTTTAAGCCCATCCATCCCCATGGATGCAAAAAATGAAGCATCTTACAGTATATGTACACATGGCATGGTCTCTGGCTCCTCTAGTGGTCAGTTCTGGCATATACATCTTTTAAAAACACTCTAGACAAAGAACCCAATCACAATCCCGTTCCACGGAGCCATTGGTGCAACTGGAGTGTAATGTCGCTGACAGCACCAAACTGCCACTAATTAAAGCATTCACAGAGCGGTGGTATAGAGGATAGAGTGATGGACTCTGGAGAACAGGGTTCAAATCTCCACTCAGCCATGGTAACTCACTGGGGGAGTGGAACTGGTAAAACCACTCCTTAAATATCTCACCCTGAAAGCCCTTGTTAGGTTTACTACGTACAACTCAGTTCCGGCTTGACAGCCCAAAAACACATTCCTGTTCAGGTTGTATGCAGCTCCATCTCATTGCACACAAGTCATGCACAACCCAAAATCGAAGCACAAACTCTTTAGTGAGTGGGAATCTGCTGATTTCTCCCCTACTGTCATCAGAACTATGGACTAGGTTCATGGTCACAGTTTGGAAACGTTACTTTTTGGAATCATTTACTCCCCTCGTCCTTCAGCCGTCAAAGCCTGGGACAGACTGTGTCCTATTCAAAACCTATCATTCGGATCTTTTCTGTCCATCAAAAACACCACACAAAACAGTTACAGTACTTAAATGGAAACATTTACTGCTTCATAGGTAATGGTGTCGAGTACAAAAATAGCAAAGTTCCTCGCAGTCGGAGAACCTTGTAGAAAAGCTGCCAAACAAAACCACTTATATATATATATATGTAGAAAGAGAGACATACATCTAGAATTCACATCATCATAGGAGCACTCAACTCTGCTGGCTAGAGGTCAGGAATGTGAAAGCCACCTTTGGCTAAGGAGGAAGGTACTCTGCTTGGAAAATGGATCCCCCACTGCCCCAAACCAGGATATGTTGAGTTGGGCTTCACAGGGAGGTCCAGAGAAGCTGAAACAATCTGCAGGGCAAGTGGAAAGAGGTCCTTAACAAAAAGAAATGGACCAGAAGGAGAAACGTGACAGGTTCCTTCTCCCCCCCCTTCCCAAACCCTGGATATTTTTCTCTAATCTTTGCGACGAGTGTCCCTCACTTCTGATGTTCTTTCATGTGCAGGACCTATAAGAAATTTCGTTCTCCAGAAATTCTGTCCTCAGAAATAAACCTCACAAAAGCTGGATTGCTCAAAGAAAAGGGATGAACCCACACTTCGTTCAGCTGATGTTTGCCCCTCTCTTCCACATTTATCCTTCTAGCTCCAGCAGTCTCTGCCGCGTCTCCAGCACAATCTCCTCCATCACCTCGGGCTTGAGAAGATCTTTGATCTGTAAACAGTACACAGGTAATTACAAGCAGGGCTTTGCATGGGACTCCCAATTCGGTTTAGAGGCCAAGTTAGAGCTTCAGAATGTATCCAGAGCAACTGGTTCCAGATTTCACATCCCAGAGTACAGGACACATCATAATGGGCCCCAGGGAGAGGAAGCCAGATTTAGGCTGAATACAGCAAGAGGAAACCAGATTTAGGCTGAGTATCGGGTAAAGCGTCTTAACTGTTAAAGCAGTACAACAACAGAACCCATGCTCTCGGGAAGTGGTGAGCGCTCCAATGCTGGAGGCCTTCAAGAGAAAGTGGGAACACCATTTATCAGATCTGCTTTGAAACACCCAATTGAGCACTGGCCAATTGAAACACCCTAGTTTCACCCCATGTGCTATAACTCCCGTACACCACACGGTTAACCCTCCCACCAGATGCAAGCAAACTCAAGCAGTTTTACAACTGTGTTGGAAGCATCTCGTAAAGTGGTTGCATGAACTTGTGAGATCCCAAACTAGGCAGCACATTAGAACCCACAGGATTTTTATCTGCTGATTCAATTATTCATGGCCTGAAAAATGTTCAAAATCTAAAAATTAAAATCCTAGAAACATATGCTTCTAAAAATGAAGTTAGCCACGAAAGGGGCCCACAGACCATGCTATGTAGAGCGCTCACTAGAAAAATACATTTCCACGACATCATTGCCAGGTTCACTATTACAATAGTGTTTGCTGGAATCCCGTGTCTTTCAGCATCCGCAGGGGGGAAGCTTAGAACTGATCTCCTGCAGATACAGGCGTCCTACTGTAAGGCCTCCCACGACACCGCAGGAAAGAAAGAGAATAACCAATTACCTGGTGAGGAAGAGAAGCTTCGTAACAGTAGAGGATGCTGGTGTCGTAGAGCATCAGTTTCTGAGTCGCCAGAGCTGTGATGCAGTTTCGGAGGCGAGAGATGACTTCACGGTCCGGCAGGGGAACAGGCTGGATAAGGAGGCAAGGAAACCCAACAAGTGAAGAAAGAAGCCGAGTGCCTTTCTGAACGAGCCATCGCCCAAGTCAAGAGACGGAAGAACCACTTCCATCCTGCAAAACCTTTCCCCTAATTTACTGCTCCACAGAAAACGTCCCATTTCCATAAACCCAGCCATGAATATAACAAAAGGTTGCCACAAAGGTGGAATTCAGGAACTGGCCCGGATAAAATGCAAGTGCAATAGCAAGCAAATCTCATTCATTCAATTTGTATTTTGCCCCATTATGCAGGTAAAGCTACTCTGGGTGGTTTAGGGTCAACTGAAAAGCAATACATGTAATTCAAAGTAAAGCAGAAAATAACATCTAAACAGCGCATCAAGAAGCCAAAGCATTAGAATAAAACGGGGCATATGAACATATAGGATAGTAGAAAACACCTCAAACAAGGTTGCCCAAAAAGGACTTTTCTGTAAAGCAATGTTTGACAGCTCTTTTTCACTGACATTCCAGGATTACCACCAACTCACCTCCATGTTGGTGACGAAGCCTCCGGCCTCTTCGTCCTTCTGCTCCGGAGTCGGATAGATCCAGATAAACCCGTTGTTGCCGAGGATAAGGGAGGCCCCACACGGCAAGTCGTGGAAGTGCGTCTTCTGCCGTTTCACCAGAGAAGGGGAGACCTGAACCAACACCCCTTGGCCGAGCTGGAGGGAAGAAAGAAACAAGAGGGGACCACCGATCAGTATAAAACCACCCCATGCAATGGACACGGGGCGGCCAACATTCAACACACACAAACTGCATGCAACCCCCCCCCCC